GTAAGAATTCTAGCATCCCCTTCAGGATTCTACAGGCACTTAACTCACATGTACATTGGCCGACTCCATAGCCTTGAGCAACCTCTCTCAGCCAGAGAGAGCCTATGTCACAGGGCTCTAGGGCCACTCACTGGGAGAACCTTGTGCGTTTCTTTGCAAGAACTTGGCACAGAGAAGGAGACTAACTAATGAATGCTTGCCATTATGATGATTAATAGTGGAAATGAGATCCAACAGGAATAGACTGGTCAATAACTCACGATAGGCAGATGCTGCATATTGTGCAATAACCAAAATGTTTTCTTGAAAACTGTCGAAGAACTCAATGAAACTGCCTGAAGTAAAAAATACATATATCCTACACACACACACACACACACACCACATATGTATGTATGCATGTATTTATGAATGCCATAAGGTCAACTCTGATAGAAGTGACTGCCTAGCTTGTAAAATCTATGAAGAGGCCAGGAAGAACGTGAAGAAAAGGGAATGGAGTCTATAGCTACATAGTAGCATCCAATCCTCTAAGCTTGCCTGTTTCTCTTCTCTCATTTTCTACAGTGACCCTGCATCACTTCAGAGCCAGGAGACAATTGATGCACTCTGTAGGATAGCACCAATGAGAAAGGGATGCTCAGAATTCTGTGACCTGCTTCAAGAAGCTGTGGCTCCAACCCCCACACGCCCCACCCCCTACCATTGTCTGCAGCTGGCCCTTCTCAGAAGGACCAACTTCCCAGTGAAGCACTGATTTCCTTAGGTTCAAAGCAGAGTCTGTATATACATACAGAGAAAACATGCAAAAGTAAATTAAGCTGAAGCTTAACTTTAAAAAAATAATGGCGCTAACGGGGATGGGGACTGGCTCAACTGTAGGGGGTTTGCCTGGCATGCACAGATCTCTGGGATTGGTCCTCAACACTGCATGTCAGTAATCCCAGCACTAACAATGGTCAAAAGCTCAAGACTGGGTGAGCAGAATGGTTCAGTTCAGCAGGGAAAGGCACCTGCTGCCAAGCTTGATAACCTGAGTTCTGGATCCCACAAAATAGAGAAAACTGTCCTCTGACCTCCACATGTGTGTCATGGCAGGCACACACACATAAATAAATGAAAACAATTTTTTTCTTTTGGTTTTTCGAGACAGGGTCTCTCTGTGGCTTTGGAACTTGCTCTGTAGACCAGGCTGGCCTCAAACTCACAGAGATCCACCTGCCTCTGCTTCCTGAGTGCTGGGATTAAAGGCGTGCACCACCACTGCCCAGCATGAAAAATACCTTTAAAAGTTTAAGATTATTATCAGCTACAAAGCAAGTTCAAGACCAGCCTATTCCATATAAGATACTGTCTCAAACACACAAAAAGCCTGAGGCAGCTGGGGCTGGAGAGAGGGCTAGGAGGCTCAGAGCACTGGCTGCCCCTCTGGGCTTGCATTCAGTTCCCAGCACACATGCTGGCTCACTATCATCGTGCAAGCAAGCAAGCAAGCAAGCAGGAGGAACAACCTCAGTGCTGGAAATGCATCAAGGCGTGTCCTGCACCGGAACCTGGTGAGAACACGGGTGGGAAGCGGGTCTGCAGGGCAGGGGCTGCTAAGACAGTCAGATGAGCGCTGGGGATTTGGAGGGTGCTGGCCTGAGGTCTGTGGAAGCCGTGTGAAAGATGGTAGAGAGGGAAAGCGGTAAGGGAAAAGGTTGAATGTAGAGACACCAATACACTGGAGAGGACAGGAGGGGGGGGGGCACTGAGGATGAAGGAGAGGAAGGAGGCAGTCCACTGCTCAGTACTGGGAGGCCACCGGCCCCCTGCTGAAACCGAGGTCAGTCCCTAGGTGTGGTCTTCTGCCCCAAGGTCTTTTCCAGCTCCTGCCCATTCTCTATAAACACAGCAGACACCAGCTGCCCCAACCCACCCCAGAGAACAAGAGAGTATGAGCCTAGATTGTAGCTGGGTCCCCAGGGGGAGGCTGAGTGCTGTCCTTTGGGTGGGTCTGCCTCCGGACCAGTCTAGAGGGACAGTCCACAGGAAGTTGCTCAAAGCCTTCTCAACTCAGGGAATTCTAGGGTGGAGCCCTGCCATCTGCTGAGAGATAGAGCCACCTAGTGGACAGAAGGTGCCAGACCCTCATCCTCCTAGCCCCATGTTCAGGCTTTGGCCATCTAGGCAAAGACAGCAGGACACACGAAGAAAGTGGTAAGAATTTTACTGGAGACCCGCTCAGACTCATAGGACAGACAGAAACACAAGCTCCTGGCCTAGACTATAGACTAGATTGGGTTCTATTAATAGATGGTTGTGTGTGGTTTATTTATAACAGAGAAAACCAAGGAGGCTTCAGAACCTTCCATGTTTGGGTGCATCCTGACCTCAATTCACAGTCCTTGAGCTCCCCAGAGTCTGTGGACGTAGCATTTGTTCCAAATGGGGAGACTTCCGGAGGCAAGGGGCTCCTAATGGGGTGACTTCCGGAGGCAAGGGGCTCCTAATGGGGAGACTTCCGGAGGCAAGGGGCAGTCCACAGGGCACTAGCAGCACAGGTCCTCTATCCTTTGTCTGATATGATTCTTCCCCAACCCAGGAAACCCACGCCACGGCAAAGAAAGTATCTATGGATGCCACACACCCAGGAAGCCCAGGTTCCAGAGTGTCTATGGATGACCACAACCACCTAGGTTCCAGAATGTCTATGATGGCCACACCCACCTGCCTATAGCCACTTCTGGCCAAGTCAGCAGTTGTGGAACCCAGGTAATAGTTGGGTCACTGTGATCTTTTTTTTTTTTTTTTTTTTTTTTTTTTAACCTCCCAAGTGCTGGATTCACAGGGGTGTGCTATGAATCTAAGGTTCCATGGATGCTAGGCAAGCACTCTACCACTGAGCTACATCCTCAACCTTAACCTTCTTAAACAGTTTAGCAGACTGCATTGTATTCTCAATTGTTGGTCTAGCAAAGTGAGTTTTCATACGTATATGTATATATGGTTTATTAAAATAAAGTCTCCTATATTTGAGGCTAACCTTGAATTCTTGCTAGGATTAAAGTGTGCACTAACACGTCAGCGTAAATAATGTAACTTTAAAAACATGTTTTATTATTATTTCTAAACTTATGTCTATATGTGGGTCTGTGTATGTGAGTGCTGGTGCCTATAGAGGCCAGAGGCATTAGATTACACTGGAGTTGCAGGTAGTTGTAAGTTACCTGATATGGGTGCTGGGAATTGAACTCAGGTCCTCTGCAAATGGGGTACTTCTAACTGCTGAGCCATCTCTCTGGGCCAATATATAATCTCTAGGCCAAGTGGATATAACTCAATAGTAGAGTGCCTACCTAGCATGTGCAAGGTCCTGGGTTTGAACTCTGGTACTACAAAACATATTTTCCCCTTCTTATTACAAAATAATACAGGCACAACATCCAAAAATATTTTCCAAAACTTGCTAGCTTGGAAAGTGAAAGTCCACTATGAAAATCCACATCCAGTCAATATGCTCTATTGAGGGGCGCAGGTCAGTGGCAGAGCACAGTTTAACATGCATGAGGCCGCAGGACTGGTCCTTGACTCTACATGCACCATTTTCCCCTAGTAACAGGCCAGTATGTACCTCACTGGCTTTTCTGTATACGTGTGCAATTGAATAGATGTGGCAGGGGACATGTGGTGGGTGCAGCCTACTCTGACATGGTTCCACAGCTTCTTTACTTTTCCCGTTAAGGGCATTCCACTAGAGACATCTGTACAGAGACTCAGAAACTCAGTGGCTCAGGATCATATGGACAGATGTCTAAAGTTTTCTGGTGAACCTGGCTTAGGAGCTAGAAGAGGAGAGTTCAGGCCAGCCATGGGGAAGAAAAGGACTCACCCAAGAAACAGATGTATACACACTTGGCTGTGGTGCTGGTTAGCACACAGCACACTTGGGCAGACGCGCCTGGGCTGCTCTGAGTTAGCAGAGGCTCCCTGGAAGATTTCTCTGCCAAGCTAGCTGGACCACACCCAGCCCCTGGATCAGGGCTGAGCTCACAACATGCAGCATAACCAGGGGGGAACCCCAACGTGCTGGACCTGCTCTCCCTGCTAGCAGCCTCAACACAGCAAACACACTGTGCTCTGGTGCTGGACCTGCTCTCCCTGCTAGCAGCCTCAACACAGCAAACACACTGTGCTCTGGTGGCTGCCCCTGCCTGGATTTGCCTGGGCCGCTCAAGTATCATATAGTACAAAATCCCAACCAAGCATGGGAAGACCAGAGAAGGAGCGCAGAGAGATGCTGTTCAGGATGCTGTGCCACAGTGTCAGGCTGCGCTTTCAGAAAGGGAGAGCCTCCACAGCGGTCAAGCCACACGGAGCTGCCCAGCAGCCTCGTCTGAGTGACTCCTGGGCACCTCTGTGTGGTCAAGGGCAATGACTTACCGCTTCCGAACCACTGCCTGCTAACAGGAAGTAGCAGAAGCAACCTCTGTCAACTGTCAAATGATGTGCATCCTCCCTGGGCACAGCCCCTGCTGTTCAACAAACACCCATGGACTTGTGACCATGGGAATCCTCAGATGTGGGGGCATCAGGCCCCTTGAACTATCCCTTCCTGCTAGTGGCAGACCCACCAGTCACTGCACAGCTGTGCCCCACAGAGACAATGCTGTCACAACACACTGAGCAGTTTTGCTGTCCCTGAACTAGGAGTTGAGAGGACAGAAGTCAGGCTGGAGGTTAAGGGGTGCAATGATCAGACCCTCTGAGGTTACACAGGCCCCCAGACATAACTATCCCCTTCTTCCCCCAAGCCTGGGAAGGGATGTACCACCTGCCTTGTTAGGGCCTTGACTCCCATCTGAGAAGGAGGTGGACCAGACAGGAGGCGGTTAGTAGATGAGAGGGAACAAGAGCATCTTTGTCCTTCCCTAGACTCCCAGATCAGCCCTTCAGCTTTGTGGACAAGCACTGTTTGGTGCACCGGGGAGGGCTTGGCTGGCGCCCGGCCCTTGACTCACCCTGGTCGATGGAGTGCTGTGGCAGCTGACTGAGCTGGCTGCTGACTACCCCCGCGTAGGTGCGCAGGAATTCTTCCTCGCTGGTGGTCAGCTGCAGGATGAGAGTCCTGAGGTGAGGAGAGCCCGTGCCTGCTCCCCAAAAGGCCTCTGCCCGACCCCACTAGTTCCTCCCTCTCGCTGCTTGTCCTCTCCCTGGTGAGGCTGCTGCGGTTTCCCAGCAATCACACCCTGCTTCCACCCTGAAAACCAGGCCCCTGAAGCTCACATGCCCTGCCGCTCACTTTGAATCTAGATCACTGTCTATTCTGGAGCAGAGCAGGTACGGAAGTCAGGCCCTGGCCAGACACCAGCAGCCAACCAGCCGTTCCCAACCCCTCCATTTCTTTTCAAAAGATGTCCCTGCGCCTGCTGGTCTACTGCCGTCCTCAGTGGCCACCCTGCCCAGTTGCCCCTCACTTGCTCCCAGGACAGAAGCCTCTCTGAGGTCACTGAGTCCCCACAGTCCCTGGCTCAAAATCAACCACAGAGTGGAAAGACTGTCTCAGCAATGCCCCCAAATTGAACACGCTGGTCTCTACGCTTGGGGAGCCTGGAGGCCCTGCAGTCCTCTCCCAGCTGCTGGAGATTCAGGAGGTGGCTGCCCCACCCCCTTCAGGGTTGACTGACACCTCTGGGCACTCACATTTGACCCCATCTTCCTCAGCATGAGCAGCACACGGACCTTCTGTTGGATGTACATCTCCTCCGGACTCTTACCGGGTGCTCCCTCGCGGTTCATCCCCCTGGCCCAGCTCTGGGGACTCCTGTAAGGAGACAAGAGTCATGGAGACACCCGTAGGTGACGCCCCCGATCTTAAGTAGTCCCTCCCTGGTAGGGAGCTCATGTCGGACAGTACAGAAGTCACAGGAGAGGTGGTGGTTCTCAGTAGCTCTTGACCTGAGGCCCAGGCAGCATGGCTGAAGAAGGGTCCTTGCTCCAGAGCAGAGGCTACAGGGAACAGCCAAGATTTCTGTTAGGAGCCACAGGAGAGGTGAGGCAAGAAGCCCCAAGAGCGCTAGGATTTAATGCAGGTAACATGCATAAGAAATAAAAGGAATTGATCAGAGATGGCTAGTTGGGCCTTTGGCTCAGGAAACTGTGAGATCAGTGACAGGCACCCAAGGCAGTGACAGCACCCTGTGCAAACGCCCCTTCTGAAACTCAAGAGGCCAGCTCCTGGGCAAGGCACAAGGAGTCCCTCTCTGGGGTGGCTGGTCCAGGGCTATGGAGCAGAGGCACTACTAGGGTTGCTGCTCCCCTCACAAACCCACCCCACCTGTTAGAGGGTAACCCTGAAGGCAGCTGTGAAGGCCAGCGGCTGTGTCCAGGTGTCTCTGGCCTGAGCTCCAGCCAGCCCCAGAAAGAGAAGCCCGGAGCCTCCTTCTGCAGAAGGAGCTGGGGGAGAGAGGCAGGATCTAGGGGTTTGGGTTACACACTTGAACTCCTGGACAAGTCAGAAATAACGCAGCAGCTGGTGGGGTGGAGCCTTAACAGCCCTGCTACCAAGAAGCTGCACTCGGGGAATGAGGGAACCCTGCTGGCAGGCTAAGGACACTCTTTACACCCTCTACTCCCAGTGTCCCATAAGTCCCAGACAGGGAAATGCTGGGCAAGGCAATACTCCACGCCAAGGGCGTACCCGGGAATGTGCCAGAGCCTGGGCAACAGCTCCTGAGAATCTACTCGTCAGCTGCTAAATGGCCTAATGGGGCCCTCGCCCCGAAAGCCCACACAACAGGTTAAAAACCTGGCCAGCTGAGACGGGCTGATGTCATGTCTGTCTGCATATTTGTCACAACACAGGACCTCCTTCTAGAGTTTTTGTACCTAGCCTTGGAGCTCTAGAGCCCAGACTCCTTACTTCTGTGGTCTGCTCCTTCCAACTTAGCCTGGGCTCGGAAAAGGGCCAAAGTGCTCACTAGGGGCTGGGAAAAGGCACAGTGGCCTTGAGCACAGGCTCGGGGCACACCATCCTGCAGGCCCCCCACTTCCTGCAGAGCCCAGCAGGACAGCAAGGCCGTGGGGCAACTCTCCTTCACTGACCTGTCTGTCCTCTGTCTAGCTCACGCACCAGCGCTGCTGGTCTGGGGATAGACCGCACGTGGCTTCATGGTGACCACTGCCTGGACCTTAAGTGTGGATGCTGTGGCCTACATCTCCCTGGTGCCACCATGGTCTTGGCCTCATAGCCCACTCACATCTTCCACTGTCCTTTCCCCTACAGAGTGGCTAGAACAATCTACATAGGTCAGGAGAGATGACTCCCCTCCCAGCCTACCCCCTACCCCAGCCTAGTCCTACCTGAAAATCCATTTCCTAGCCTGGCTGGTTGGGAGGCCAAGTGTGATCAACCCTGTTCCTCCTGCAGCCCAGCTCTCCCTGCTCTGCTGGTCCGCCTCTGCATAAGTATCCATCACCTAAGCCCAGAACTGGCTTCACCTTGGTCTCAAGGTACCTTTCCAGGGGGCCAGTGCCATGCCTCCATCTCCTGTCACACAGCCCTGTCTCACAGCCCTACTGAGTGCCTTACTGGAGCGTCTGCTTATTGTCTCTTCCCTTTCCTGCTGTGTCTGTTCTGCTTGGCCCTGTCCTCCCAGAGCCTGGTACCCAGCAGGATCTTAGTAAGTACTGCCTACCTGACAGAATGGAACAGGGGAGCAGTCTTTAGTGTCTCAGATCCCCCTCTCTATTCTACTGATGCCGATTTGGAACTGATGTCATTGTATTAAGAGACTTAAGTACTAACCCACAGTACCACAACCAAATTTTACTTTCCCAAAGGACTCTCCCTCCACAAGAAGTGTGGCCTGAGCCACTGCAACCTCCAGCAAACATTGGAAGTATTCCAAGAAGCCCTCAAACTGGGAGTCAGAGCTCCCGAGCAAAGTCTTCCAATTCTGTCCTGTGCTCAAGGACTAGCTAGTTCTCAGTAGGCCATGGCCTATGATAGTGCATGACATGCAAGAGACCAGCCACTAGGTGCCGCCATACACAAAAGTTTCCGGGGTGTTTCGGCAACCCAAGGCGATTTCTGTGGCTAGTCCCCTGGGAAGCTCTCACAAATGACACTCCATTCACAGTGGGTCCCAGGAACTCATCTATTCACTGAGATTGCTCCTATAGGACAGGGTAAGCTACACCAGTGCTTGCTGGAGGAACATCCCTGTGGAGTCATTTCACACGGGGTCTGCGTTGCTGAACTGTCCCACAGCTTTACCCTTCCACACCTCTACACTGGCCCCTAGACTGGCGTATCCCAAAGTTCTCTTTGCTGCTGTAGTCCTGCTGTGAGGTCTTGGGATTTGCAGCAGCCAGGCTCAAATGGGTGTTTGGAGCCAGGTCATTCTTACTCTAACACACTTGCCTGGCATAATCTATTTCCTAGATTTCATAAGAATCCCGACTTAGCACTTCTCAAAAGTCTTGTCATCTCGTGTCTGTTTACAGCCCTTTATTTACTTACGTGCATGTTTGTGTGCTCACCACGGGGCACATGTGAAGGGCAGAAGGGACGGCTGTGGGAGTCATTTCTCTCCCAGGGCCTGAACCCGGCTTCAGAGAGCTGGTGGCAAGCAGCTCTGCCCACTGGGGTTAAGCTCTACGTTGCTGACCTGCCTCGCTCGCTGCCTGACGGGAAGGAACACCCAGGGCTGGATCTGGGATAGAAAGTGGAGCACAGGTCCCTGCCCTTCACATTCCAGGCCAAATGCTCTAAGAAGCGTCCTAACTGATGTAATTCTGTCCTAATTTGCAATGAGGGTGTCAATGAGAAGAAAATTAATAATTGAAGAGAATACGTCATAATCATCTCAGACAAATGGCTGCTGCTGTGCCGCAAGCATATTACAGAGTACTGGGATTTGTTGTCTATCCAGGCAAATATGTCATTAAATTTTCATAACAATTCTGTCAAATACTACAGTAATGTCACTGGAGGATTCCTATTTTCCTTGCTGGGATCAAGAACTGGTCTCCATTAAAATGTGCTTAAATTACATAAGCTCAAACTGCAATTAATTTACATACTAATTATTCATTATGCTCAGACCTAAGAATCAAGTAATGATGCATCTCAGTAATAACTCCAGCTATTCCTACACCAGCCCTTCCCAAACACAGGGCAGTGCGTCCCTTCCCCCAGACAGACCGCAAAAAGGAAAATGGAAACAACAGGCAGCTGTCAATTATGCAAATGAGCGGGAGGGGCAAGGTCTGTGGTTTTGATTTTTGTGGTGGCAAACCACACGGTGTGCATGAAGTGGTGTCATGCCAGAAAGTCCCATTGTTGGAATAAATACAAATACTGAGGGTCACGGCACATACATAGTAGACCCCGCATGCCCATGCAGCTGCTGGTTCTGAGCCTGCCCCTCTGCTGCAGGGAGCATGGCTGCTCAGCAAACGTCAGGGTCCCCAGTCACTACGCAAGCCACACAGGGAGAGAACTCTGAGGATCACCAGCTGAGCAGGGCACCGAGGAGTGGGAGACATCAAGGACAGTGACGTCACATTCCCACCCATTCTCTGCAGACCTCCATGGGCTGACTGATGGCACTTCAGAATTAGGAGAAGCCAGGAATGTGACCCGGATTGTTGGAGGCTGGGAGGCTAGGGCTGCCTGTGTGGGTTTCTATCAGTGCTGATAAGGGGCCTGACGAGCTGGCCTCCCTTTGACCTGTTGAGTGGCCCTGAGTACAAGTCCAGCCCTTTGGCTCATTTTTATTTATAAACCTGAATCTAATGCTGTTTGCATACTCACGTTTACATACACATTTTTAAAAAGGTATCATCTTATAATCATAGGGGTCTTGCATCTGCTTTAAAAAACTATCAAGTAAACCCAAGCTGGGCTGGAACACAGGATGGCCCTTCAGGATCACAAGGTTTGCTGCCCTATGGAGTCCACCCTCTGCCTTTCATTTTGTCCATATTAAAACATACTAGGAAAGCCAGGTGTGGTGGCTCTTCCCTGTAATCTCAGCGGTTGTGAAGTAAAGGCAAGTGGACGCCATAAGCTTGAAATAGCCTGGTCTACACACTGAGTCCCAGGCCAGCCACAGAAAGACGGCAGCATACTGTGTCAAAAACCCAAAACAAACACACACCATGACAGCTGGGCATGGAGACTCCTGTCTGTAATCCCATCGCTAGGGAGGCTGAAGCATGGAGGTTTCCCTCTAGTTTGGAGCTACTTTGGGCTATACAATGAGTTTCAAGTGTGCCTGGGCAATAAAATGAGAACCTATGTCAAAAACATTTTTTGTTGTTTTGTTTTTTTTTGAGACAGGGCTCTCTCTACATAGTTCTGGCTGTCCCGGAACTCACTTTATAGACCAGGCTGTCCTTGAACTCAGTGAAATCCACATGCCTCTGCCTAACATGAGATTAAAGGCCTGTGCCACTATCCCTGGGTCAAATTTTTAAAGCATAAAGACAATTTTTTTTTTTTTAAAAGAAGCTAGCCATAGAGGCATGTGCCTATAAGCCCTCACTTGGAAGGCAGAAGCTGAGGGATCAGGACTTCCATGGTTATCCTCAGCTACACAGTGAGGCCAGCCTGGGCTACAGCAAATCCTATTTCCAAAACACAAACAAGCAACACACACACACACACACACACACACACACGGGGTGTGGCTCAGTGATAGCATGTACAAGACCCTGAGTACCATGTGCAACACAGCACAATAACAAAACATCTCTTCAACTTTTAAATGCACCCATGTTTCCACAGGGGTTATATAAGATAAAAATACAACCTAT